CAAAATGTTATGTACCGTACTTATGAATACTAATGGGTATGTCTTAATCCTCATGAATAGGTTCGTTGACCACTATTGTAAGTGGGTGTAATATGCTAATTAGTCCACCACTAGCAGTGGTTTACCTACTTCACGCCGCTGGCGAGTATTGTAATTTGTTGATGTTATAAAGATTCTTTTTTCTTTCATTTTATGCGCTATGTCCTTTCAGGACGTAGGAGAACATGACTCTCTACCCCTCACTGTCCTTGCAGCTTTCAATAAGTTGCTTCCCTCTGCTTCCTCTCCCAGACCACGTTCTGTGATCCACCTGCTCAAGCTCGTCAGGTATGTCACGCGTTGTTTTCCCTTGTCTCTCTTTCCCTCTATTCGACCCGTGAGTATCAGATTCTCCAGGCCCTCCTTCCTCAGTATGTCTCCCAGAAACTTCAGCTGCCTCTTCTTGATGTTACGTATAAGCCTAATCCTTGTTTACATTCTCTCTAAAACCTCATCGTTGCTCACTCTCTCAGTCCATGATATCCTTAGCATCCTTCTGTAGAACCAAATCTCCGTCGCCTCGAGTTTCTTCTTCATCTTTGAGGAAATCGTCCATCCAATATTCGCTGCCATGAATAAGGACAGATGTCACCTAACAGCTTAGTATTTTTTCTTTGTTACCAAAGAAATCCTCCTGTCTCACAATTTTCGGCCCAGTTTTTTTAATCTGTCCTTGGCCATCCCAATACGTCTACGGATCTCAGTGTTGCACTTACCGTTCTCTGTCAGAACGTTTCCCAGATATTTAAACTTCCGCGTCTGTTTGATTCTAGTGTTCCCGACCTTTTCCATTTTCAGCCTCCGTTTTGGTCATTCCTCATTCAGTAACCTTTTATAGGTTACAACACTATCTATCTATCTATCTATCTATCTATCTATCTATCATATACCGTACCTATGAACAAAAATGGATATGTCCCAATCCTCATAAATACTTAAAATTGTAAGTGGAGGTAATATGCTAAGTATGTTTATTTTGCTTTGTTTTGATGTTTAGTTTGTTTTGGGGGTCATCACCTCCCCTCTTAATCTCAATCATATTTTTATGTATGAAATATTTACTATCATCAGATTTTTAAATGTCGTGGGGGGTGCATTTTGTAGGTGCCCCCGAGTGAATGCGGCATTATGGTCTATGGATTATTGATTGGTGACGGATAAACTTTTATGGTGAATGTGCAAATTGTAATGAGTGGATGGGTCCTGAGTCGAATTAACTAGGTATAAGATAATCAGTGAAGACCAGCCTCAACCCATTCCCCCTTTTCGACTTTGTGCCATAATTGTATTTATATACAATAAATATAAATATGCTGTCTAAGTAGTTCATCACTAGCAGTGGTTTACCTACTTCACGGCGCTGGAGAGTATTGTATTTTGTTGATGCTATAAAGATTACCATTTCATTTCCAACCTCCGTTTTGGTTATTCCTCATTTAGTAAACCTTCCTAGGTTACAACACAACACTAGAGAGATATTCAATTTAGAGGATTGCTAAATGATATGTGTGATATGAATCTAAGTGGTGAAAGTAGTTTATGTGGATATGGAGGATGGATAAATATTGATTATTGACATGAAGAGATTAATAGCATGATGTTCCTGGAAGAATCCATACAGTAGTCTATTCCACAAGCTAACAGTTCTTGTGTTAAAAAAAAAAAGTTAAATGGAATCCATTCCTCCTGATTTGAATAAGGTAGACGTTGCATAGCAGTTCTTGGTATTAAATATCTCAATTTGTGGACCTAGCGAGAGAGTTCGCCTGAACATTTGGCATGGAAATAACGATAAAGTAGCGATAAGAATTTAATAACTTTATGGAGACAGATAATAAATATTACGTGACCCAACGGCAATTTCCCATAGACACACATACAGACGTTATTGCACTTTTTCGCAGTCATCTACGTCACCAGTAGTTCTGCTGAATCTGAGTTTCGACAAGCTTCCATGCACGTTCTGTTCACATCAAAACAATGCAACAAATATATCTGCTTCACTTTAGCTCTCCATTCGAAATGAAATGCACTGTTCTAATAAATAAAAAAAAATATGAGATAAATAGTAATGGAGTGTTGATAGCGGAACGGAAAATAGAAATGCCAAACTGCTAACATATCATCCAATTGAGAGAAATGCTAAGTATTTTTTTTTTTTTGCAAATAGCGCTCTTAATTTAGTCTAGACATTGTCCCCTGGCTTTACTGTGATAATCTGGAAGTCCAGGTATTTTGAACGTATTACAGCTTAAATAATGTTCAGTAAATAAAACGCTTGACGTAGGGATGTTTAGAAAAGAAATATATATGATCGACAGTGTTGATAAATATTCCCTAATGGAATGGAACCCTCTTCACTTAGATATATATTATATCTGGTAGCATATGTGATGTTAAATACTGTAACCATTTTTTCTATTACCCTTTTGTTATGAATAATCAAGCGTGGTCACCCTTTGTTTTGTTACTCTCCACTTTAAGAGAGCTATTTCTGCTTATTGGCAGTATAAAAGAACACTATACGCGAACCTTGTAGTCAGTTGAATAAATCTTTCTTGAAGACTCTCCCTGCGTACTTTTTTCGTTACATCTTTCCTCAAATATTTGTAAGACTAAACTAAATATTAGACGGAATATTAAAAAAAAAAAAACCCTTCATGTCACCATAACAAATCTGTCCGGAAAAAAATAATTCATTTGTCTATTATTCCATAGGTGATTTTTTTTCTTTCCCTTATTTGCCTGAGTAGTGCAGCCGCCCGTTTCAGCACCAAAAGAGTGCTTTACGCCATTCTTAATATAAGATCTAATAAGCGAGACAAAAACAGAAGAAAATTCACGCTGTCTACGGTAACGATAACCTCCCATGAACACCACGCAGGCGTTCACTGGTTAAAAATGGGTACAATTAAATTGCACAATTCAACACTGTTTGGATTATGAGTCATTATATTCCCACACAACTAAGAAGTCATTATGCCACGAATTGGATTTCATATTATTATGTTATCACAAGTTCTTTCCATGTTACTTTTCTTCTTCTTTTTGTTATCTTAATTTATTTTTGCTTTTAATGCTTTTCTTTCTTACTGGTTAACCTCAAATTATTTATCTTTCTCACTTATTTTTCTTTCTTCTCTACATTTTTTCTTCCTACACTACATTTTTCTTTCTTCTCTTCGTTTTTTCCTTTCTTCTCTTCGTTTTTTTCCTTTCTTCTCTTCGTTTTTTCCTTTCTTCTCTTCGTTTTTTTCCTTTCTTCTCTTCGTTTTTTCCTTTCTTCTCTTCGTTTTTTTCCTTTCTTCTCTTCGTTTTTTTCCTTTCTTCTCTTCGTTTTTTTCCTTTCTTCTTCTTTTTTTTTCCTTTCTTCTCTTCGTTTTTTCCTTTTTCTTTTTTTTTTTTCTTCTCTTCGTTTTTTTCCTTTCTTCTCTTCGTTTTTTTCCTTTCTTCTCTTCGTTTTTTTCCTTTCTTCTCTTCGTTTTTTTCCTTTCTTCTCTTCGTTTTTTCCTTTCTTCTCTTCGTTGCTTCCTCTCTTCTCCTCGTTTTATTTTCCTCTCTTCTCTTCGTTTTTTTCCTTTTCTTCTCTTCGTTTTCTCCCTCTCTTCTCTTCGTTTTCTCCCTCTCTTCTCTTCGTTCTTTCCCTCTCTTCTCTTCGTTTTCTCCCTCTCTTCTCTTCGTTTTTTTTTTTCTTCTCTTCGTTTTTCTTCTCCAATCTTCCTTTTTCTTCACCCCTATTTGGTGTATATTTCTCGCTTCTTTTTTTCTTGTTCACTTCTTGTACTTTCTGTTCGTTATTTTTTTGGTTTTTTTTTTCCTGTCTATGCTTATTTTTTATCATTCCCCGTATATTTATTTCTTATATCTCATCTAATTCGTCTCATTGTGTACATCTTTTTATTTTAAAAACAGTCTTTATTTCCACCGCCCGTCTCTCCCTGCTGCTCTGTAATATTGACAATAATTTCTTTTTCCATTGCACCCAAGTCAAATCACATATAATACTCCTTTATTTACCTATAAATTTATTCCCGTGTGACCTTCATCTCTTTCTTTCCCAAACAACTGTAAATGTTATCATTCCGATAAGTCAATCGTGTTATAAAACAGATAATCTGTGATAAGCATATTTCGACAATGTCTGATCTTTCAACATACTTGGCATTCATGTTTTCTCATTTGATACTCACTTTTACCCTTTTTGAGTTATCCATCTCTCTTTTCTCACTTCCTTCTCATCCTTTATCAGCATACCAAATATATTTTGCTCCCTAAATTAAATTTATCTGCTTCTCTCGTCCTTTGTTTTCCACTCATTATTAATTTTTCTATTTTTGTTTTTCTTTCTTTCATATTTCAATTTCTCACCGTCATTCCCAGTTTCCCTTTTCGCCTTCTCTGATAGTATCCCTTTTCGCCTTCTCTGATAGTTTCCCTTTTCGCCTTCTCTGATAGTTTCCCTTTTCGCCTTCTCTGATAGTTTGCCTTCTCGCCTTCTCTGATAGTTTCCCTTTTCGCCTTCTCTGATAGTTTCCCTTCTCTGATAGTTTCCCTTTTCGCCTTCTCTGATAGTTTCCCTTTTCGCCTTCTCTGACAGTTTCCCTTCTCTGATAGTTTCCCTTTTCGCCTTCTCTGATAGTTTCCCTTTTCGCCTTCTCTGACAGTTTCCCTTTTCGCCTTCTCTGATGATCGCCTTTCTGATAGTTTCCTTTTCGCCTTCTCTGATAGTTTGCCTTCTCGCCTTCTCTGATAGTTTCCTTTTCGCCTTTCTGATAGTTTGCCTTCTCGCCTTCTCTGATAGTTTCCCTTTTCGCCTTCTCTGACAGTTTCCCTTTTCGCCTTCTCTGATAGTTTGCCTTCTCGCCTTCTCTGATAGTTTCCCTTCTCGCCTTCTCTGATAGTTTCCCTTTTCGCCTTCTCTGACAGTTTCCCTTCTCTGATAGTTTCCCTTTTCGCCTTCTCTAATAGTTTCCCTTTCGCCTTCTCTGATAGTTTCCTTTTCGCCTTCTCTGATAGTTTCCTTTTCGCCTTCTCTGATAGTTTGCCTTTTCGCCTTCTCTGATAGTTTTTTCTCTGATAGTTTCCTTTTTCGCCTTCTCTGATAGTTTCCCTTTTCGCCTTCTCTGATAGTTTCCTTTTCGCCTTCTCTGATAGTTTGCCTTTTCGCCTCTCTGATAGTTTGCCTTTTCGCCTTCTCTGATAGTTTTCCCTTTTCGCCTTCTCTGATAGTTTCCTTTTCGCCTTCTCTGATAGTTTGCCTTCTCGCCTTCTCTGATAGTTTCCCTTTTCGCCTTCTCTGACAGTTTCCCTTTTCGCCTTCTCTGATAGTTTCCTTTTTCGCCTTCTCTGACAGTTTCCCTTCTCTGATAGTTTCCTTTTTCGCCTTCTCTGATAGTTTCCCTTTTCGCCTTCTCTAATAGTTTCCCTTTTCGCCTTCTCTGATAGTTTCCCTTTTCGCCTTCTCTGACAGTTTCCCTTTTCGCCTTCTCTGATAGTTTGCCTTCTCGCCTTCTCTGAGTTTCCCTTTTCGCCTCCTCTGATAGTTTGCCTTTTCGCCTTCTCTGATAGTTTCCCTTTTCGCCTTCTCTGATAGTTTGCCTTCTCGCCTTCTCTGATAGTTTCCAATAGTTTTTTTCGCCTTCTCTGACAGTTTCCTTTCCTTCTCTGACAGTTTCCTTTTCGCCTTCTCTGACAGTTTCCCTTTTCGCCTTCTCTGACAGTTTCCTTTTCGCCTTCTCTGACAGTTTGCCCTTTTCGCCTTCTCTGACAGTTTGCCTTTTCGCCTTCTCTGACAGTTTGCCTTTCGCCTTCTCTGATAGTTTCCTTTTCGCCTTCTCTGATAGTTTCCCTTTTCGCCTTCTCTGATAGTTTCCTTTTTTCGCCTTCTCTGATAGTTTCCCTTCTCTGATAGTTTCCTTTTCGCCTTCTCTGATAGTTTCCCTTTTCGCCTTCTCTGATAGTTTCCTTTTCGCCTTCTCTGATAGTTTCCCTTTTCGCCTTCTCTGATAGTTTCCTTTTCGCCTTCTCTGATAGTTTCCTTTTCGCCTTCTCTGATAGTTTGCCTTCTCGCCTTCTCTGATAGTTTCCCTTTTCGCCTTCTCTGATAGTTTGCCTTCTCGCCTTCTCTGATAGTTTCCCTTTTCGCCTTCTCTGATAGTTTGCCTTCTCGCCTTCTCTGATAGTTTCCCTTTTCGCCTTCTCTGACAGTTTCCTTTTCGCCTTCTCTGATAGTTTCCCTTTCGCCTTCTCCTGACAGTTTCCCTTTCGCCTTCTCTGATAGTTTGCCTTCTCGCCTTCTCTGATAGTTTCCCTTTTCGCCTCCTCTGATTTTGCCTTCTCGCCTTCTCTGATAGTTTCCCTTTTTCGCCTTCTCTGATAGTTTGCCTTCTCCCGCCTTCTTTTCCGACAGTTTCCCTTCTCTGATAGTTTGCCTTTTCGCCTTTCTCTGATAGTTTCCTTTTCGCCTTCTCTGATAGTTTCCCTTTTCGCCTTCTCTGATAGTTTCCCTTTCGCCTTCTCTGATAGTTTGCCTTTTCGCCTTCTCTGATAGTTTGCCCTTCTATTAGTTTTTTCGCCTTCTCTGACAGTTTCCTTTTCGCCTTCTCTGACAGTTTGCCTTTTCGCCTTCTCTGATAGTTTCCCTTTTCGCCTTCTCTGACAGTTTCCCTTTTCGCCTTCTCTGACAGTTTCCCTTTTCGCCTTCTCTGACAGTTTGCCTTCTCGCCTTCTCTGATAGTTTCCCTTTTCGCCTTCTCTGACAGTTTGCCTTTTCGCCTTCTCTGATAGTTTCCCTTTTCGCCTTCTCTGACAGTTTCCCCTTTCGCCTTCTCTGATAGTTTCCTTTTCGCCTTCTCTGATAGTTTCCCTTTTCGCCTTCTCTGATAGTTTCCCTTTTCCTTTCTGATAGTTTTCCTTTCGCCTTCTCTGATAGTTTGCCTTTTCGCCTTCTCTGATAGTTTCCCTTTTCGCCTCCTCTGATAGTTTGCCTTTTCGCCTTCTCTGATAGTTTCCCTTTTCGCCTTCTCTGATAGTTTCCCTTTTCGCCTTCTCTGATAGTTTGCCTTTTCGCCTTTCTCTGACAGTTTCCCCTTTTCGCCTTCTCTGATAGTTTCCCCTTTCGCCTTCTCTGATAGTTTCCCTTTTCGCCTTCTCTGATAGTTGCCTTCTCGCCTTCTCTGATAGTTTCCCTTTTCGCCTTCTCTGATAGTTTGCCTTCTCGCCTTCTCTGATAGTTTCCCTTCTCTAATAGTTTCCCTTTTCGCCTTCTCTGATAGTTTCCCTTTTCGCCTTCTCTGACAGTTTCCCTTTTCGCCTTCTCTGATAGTTTGCCTTCTCGCCTTCTCTGATAGTTTTTTCGCCTTCTCTGATAGTTTGCCTTTTCGCCTTCTCTGATAGTTTCCCCTGATAGTTTCCCTTTTCGCCTTCTCTGATAGTTTGCCTTCTCGCCTTCTCTGATAGTTCCCTTTTCGCCTCCTCTGATAGTTTCCTTTTCGCCTTCTCTGATAGTTTCCCTTTTCGCCTTCTCTGACAGTTTGCCTTTTCGCCTTCTCTGATAGTTGGTTTTCCTTCTCTGACAGTTTGCCTTTTCGCCTTCTCTGACAGATCTCTGACAGTTTCCCTTTTCGCCTTCTCTGATAGTTTCCCTTTTCGCCTTCTCGCCTTCTCTGACAGTTTCCCTTTTCGCCTTCTCTGACAGTTTCCCCCTTCTCTGATAGTTTCCTTTTCGCCTTCTCTGATAGTTTCCCTTTTTCGCCTTTTCGCCTTCTCTGATAGTTTCCCTTTTCGCCTTCTCTGATAGTTTCCCTTTTCGCCTTCTCTGATAGTTTCCCTTTTCGCCTTCTCTGATAGTTTCCCTTTTCGCCTTCTCTGATAGTTTGCCTTCTCGCCTTCTCTGATAGTTTCCCTTTTCGCCTTCTCTGATAGTTTGCCTTTTCGCCTTTCTGATGGTTTCCCTTTTCGCCTTCTCTGATAGTTTGCCTTCTCACCTTCTCTGATAGTTTCCTTTCGCCTTCTCTGATAGTTTCGCCCTTTCGCCTTCTCTGATAGTTTGCCTTCTCGCCTTTCTGATAGTTTGCCTTCTCGCCTTCTCTGATAGTTTCCTTTTCGCCTTCTCTGATAGTTTGCCTTCTCGCCTTCTCTGATAGTTTCCCTTCTCTAATAGTTTCCCTTTTCGCCTTCTCTGATAGTTTGCCTTCTCGCCTTCTCTGATAGTTTCCTTTTTCGCCTTCTCTGATAGTTTCCCTTTTTGCCTTCTCTGATAGTTTCCCTTTCTCATTGTTTCTTCCTCTTTTCTTTGGTTCATTATTTCTTTCTTTGGTTCTTTTTTTCTCCTGTCTTTTTCGGTTCTTTCTGACAATATAAATATATTATAAAGTCTGAAAAAATATATCGTGCCTAAAAGAAAATTTACACTGAGTGGTTTGTTTTAGGACAAGAAATACTTGTAAATGTTAAAGTCTCCGGATCGATACTATATTTTTCTTCATAATAGATAACTTTTTCTGCTTTCTATGAGTGTGGCTGATGCTAACCTCCAGGTGAGCAATTCATTACGTCTTCTTTGTTCTACGTTTTCCACTGATATGAAGTGGAAATATTATGAAAAGTTAATTGCTTAGTCTATCGCTCGGAAAATTAGTTCTCTGTGTAAGGCGAAACAATTTCTTCTCGACAGAATCCTACTTGCACGTTTATAAATCTAAGTTGAATTTAAGCAGACTATGTATTCGCAATAAGGTTTCACAGTTTTACTCTTGAAATAGCTTGGTGTTACCGTAAGTTCTATTCTAATAGTTCCTTCATTTATGCCTCTTGCTTGTTGAACTCTCTTCCATGCCACGTACGAAAATTTAAAAGTAACGTCAATCATCATCTTTTGTCACCCTGTTCTTTCATTGTTCTTTCTACTCACTAACATCTTATAATTTTATTTAACTCTCAGTAATCCCTTGCGTCTTAGTGGCATTATTACATTGCTTGGGATGAAACGAATAAAAAAAAGTTGTCATTGTTTTCTGTTATATAAACTAACCGGAGTATTTTCCTTTGACACTCTTGAGTTTCTTTATTGAAAATTTTCTGACATATCCTGCTGGTTATCTGTCGCCTAGGCAATAACTTATCAGATTTTTTTCACTCTTAGGCTACATTCAGCTATAGTAGCAAAACCATGGAGGAAAATAGGAAATATGAAAAATTTGAATGTATGGACTTGCAAAATTAAATAACCTGGTCTAGTACCCGTGGATTCATTTATGACTTAATCTTTATTACAAAAAGATGGTGATGGATAGATAATGCTTAATTTGTGCATCAAAAATATATCGAAATTTTTGCCAACAATACAGACAAAATAAGTCTCTTCTTGTATTGATTTTGTGTGTAATCATTATGATCGTGCAATTGGTGCAATGATTAATTCGAATTCGGGTCCAGATCATTGCAGTTATTGTCACACAAATATTCTACATATAGAGGTTAAATATTGGTATCATTTTGGATTCGCTGTCCGTACTTGGCAACCAGTACAGGAGAAAGAAAACTTTGGATGCAAGCTATATATGATCTGATGAAGCATATACTTGAAATGTAAATAAGATAATTTCAGCATAGTTGTACTGTAAAATACAGGCTTTCTGAGAGTTGAAAAGAATGCAGATACGCCTGAGCAGATGAGCATGCCAGGAAGAAGAGAAATACTACTAATTTGAGGCCTGCTTTCAAATTGAAACAAACTCTTATTATGTGTGATATTTTATAGCTAAATCAAGTGAGGCCTGGAGTAAACACGCTAACAGGGCGTCTTCAACTCGCAAAATAAGCAGGAAACCTTTGAGATCGGGAAGTACATTGACTTTCCCGGGTTCGAATTATACCATGGGCGATGAGTCAGGAAGATGACTTCTTGATGCTCTTGGTCTGGAAGAGGGGATCTCAGCATGTGACACCTTTGAAAAGTGCATGAAAACCATAGCACGAGTTGACCCAAGCCATATGAGTGAAATTGGGTAAAGGGGACACGTTGGGAGCCGAAGTCACAAATCATCATGCCCGAGGATTTGAGCGTGCTGGCCTTGTTCAGACGACTGATCACGTTAGAAAACACGCTCTCTCCCAGAAACTGTAACTATGGTCTGATCAGCATAATGGCAGTATAAACCACTGGTTTAAACAAATAGAAATGTTCATGAACAAGCGTCTACAACAGGGATTGGCTAGCCGTTTTAGTGTGCTGATATCTACGGGTACGTTTGACCAGACATTTATAATCATATATAGTTTCATAAGTCAGGAGTTTCGATTGAAGAAACTGTTAACATTGAACTAACAGTAATATCCAACCATTTCAATTATAAAATGATGATCCCTTTCAGCCAATAAGGTATCGCGATTAAATTTATAAAATTCAGGTAAGTTAGGAAAAGATCATGAAAACAATTACAACTAAAGTATTTACAGAAAATGCAAAGAAAAACTACGTTAGGGCGGCAGAAAAGGCAGAAAAAGTCTAGATGCCAGATCACGACCAATAACATTGCATATTCTTCTTTGAATTTTATCAAAAATCTCTAAATATATAGCCGGAGCACCAGACTAGATATGACAATAATATACAAAGTAAGGACGAATGTTATATTCTGACGAGAAATATTAAATACATTAAAACATAATGAATCAGTTTTCTTAGTTGCAGATTTAGCAATTGATTCAATATGCATTTTTTCATTTCATGTTCGCTGAAAATTTTAGTCCAAGAAGGCGAAATGGATCGCACTCCTGCATTAGCCATGTTGATTGAAGTTAAAATGGATTATCTCGGGTGGGATGATTAAAAGAGAACAGTTTTGTTTTTGAGGCGCTAAAATTAACAAACCACTCCTGGCCCCATTTAGCAACAGATCACCTGCCAAGTTGACCTTGTCGAACTGATCTAACTTACGGTTAAGAGGGAAGTAAATAGATGTCATCAGCAGAGATAACGTGCATGGATTATTATAGATTATTAGAATACTTTCTAATCCAATCATAGAATTGGACTGATGTGCAACTGTGTTTTCATTTCTAACTTGCAAAACTTAATGGTTTCTGCAATTATTCTTATTTTGTTTTTGTTTTTTTTTTTTTGTTTTTTTTATTAATGTTCACTTGATACAAGGCTCAAGAGCCACTCACTGTAGAAGGTTACTCTCTGGGCATATTATCGTAGGGCTTATAGGAAAGAATAAACGTTAGGCGTCTAGTGCTGAACCAGGCTTCAGAAGGAACCAGAAACCCAATCCTAAACATGGGTAAACCTCTACTCCTATTCACCACACCTGGGCGGAGTTAGAACAGGACGATAGGTGAACCTATTTGAAGAAACCAGAAACAATTCGTCTAAGGATTCTGTCTACATAGCTGTAATGATTTTTGTTTTATGACAGTGTACCTGAAAGACCTCAATAGCACTAAGTATGCTTACACGCAAGTTCACTTGCAAATATTAAGCCACGGTGGGAGTTCGTAGTTGAGTCAGCGTGCACATATCGACGCGTGTCTCATAGCAGACGCCAATTAGAGCGTCGAGTCACTCCTGCCTTTGTGCTGAAGAGAGTGTCTTTTCAAATCTCTCGTCACGTCTCGTTGTAATTACTTTTTCTTCTTGTTAAAAATGGTAGTCGACTGACTTTATAGCGTGATCGTATTGCTTACAGATAGTGTATTTAACCTGTTTGTATATCTAAATTAAAATCGAGTGCGCAGTTTAACTGTTTTGCGATCAGACGCTATTTGATACAGGATGCCGTTAAAACATATATGAAGACAGACATAGTCACCTATTATGACACACCTATAGCATTGAAGTTCAATTTATAAAACTGACTCGGATACACGACAGAATAGACAAAGGTGCCTTCCAGAGATCAAGCAACGTAATTAAAATTTTGCAAATGTCATTAGAAATGAATAAAATAGGGCTGAATTGCTACGAAATACCTAATTTTCTTTTTGTGATGTTAGACGCTCACTCGTAAATTTCCTTGGGTCAAAGAATGCTCGTTATCACTACCGAAAGGCTCGTTGTAGACGTGACTTTGTAAACGCTGATTCTGGTAGTACTAACGCTTTCAAATAATACGCGCACTTGTAATACTTTTTCAAATAGTAATCACCGAATAGTAATTCGTATAATGATCAGTATAGAGGATACTATAGAGAATATTATAAAGAATCGCTACCACTTAGACAGCACGCTAATTCCCATTGATAAGTTTCCTTTACGATCAGGTGATTTAATAATGGAATCGTCCGTGTTTGCTTACTGATGAACTACAAACTACAGTGTTGGCAACAACACTTTATTCCTATACAACACTCCTATATAGCAGTAAACGATCAGATGGAGAAGAGATTTGAAACGGCAGCTATTTTTTATACTATTGACCAGGAAAAACAAGGACCAAGAGCAAATCAAAGTAGATCGTTACTGAATTAGATTGTTGTATATTATGAGAATATGTAGGATATATACTACTTACGCCTAGGCTTGAAGAAGCTAAGATTGTACTGATTGCAGAGGTATTCATTTTGAGAATCTGTTCCATAAAGTAACTTTTATGGAGAAAAATATCGAGTGGCACTTCCTCCGTACCCAAGAATGACGGAGGGATGTGGATGATTTAGCGCAGTTCACGTAGTACATCATGTCTTAGCTGTGAATGTCTGCACACGTTTAAAAATTTGGCATAATAATAGTGACAGTGTAGCGACAGGCTAGCAACGTTTCGTCTGCGTGAAAACAGGTTGTAGGGTGGGCAGTATATCACCACCTCGCCGCTTTTGAACTCTGTCTTGCCTGGATATCATAAGCCTCGATATTACAGCAATATTCTTAGTCTGATCTGACTCTTAACATAAATAGAGCACGAAAGTAGCAATAACTATTATCTAGTGCGTTACAAGGAACTGACTATTCTTCCAGCTTCTTAAGCGAGTTTTCGAATATAGTTTAGTTTTTATATTTTCCTTCCGCTTGTGCTGTTAGGCGTCGCGGGGAGACACAGCCGTCTGTCAGCGGCAATGCGAGTGGTCTGGAGGAGAGATATCTCGTGAGTGTCTGCCACTGAATCGCTCCAGCGTCTTTTGGTCTGCCTATCGCTCTGCAGCCACAGTTTCTGTGGGTGTATGCTCATAGGCCTGGTTGGTTGATAGGATGAGGTGTCCGAACCACTTGTTCATCTGACGTTTGATGTCTTGTATGATTGGTATTTCTCGTACCATATCTCATTGCCCCATTCTTGATCTTATCACGCCTGGTTTTGTTCACTGCTTTCCTCAGGCATTTCATCTTACAAGTGATCAGCTTCCCCTTAAGGGTTTTTGTTAGGGGCCATGTCTGGCACTGGTATATCAACGTTGGTAGAAAAATGGCGTTGATGAGATCTGCCTTGATGTTCATAGAACTGCTAGGATGTTTTAGATGCAGTTAAGTTGATAACTAAGAGTTTTCGAATATACGAGTTCTATTTGAGGTGTGAATTTATTAATTGATTGATTTGTTTTTACTACTTATCAACCTTTTGCGGGTTATTTAAAGCCAGAAATCTTTTTTTCCGGTTGTAAGAATATTGAGTGGATAATAATTATTTATTAATACAAATCCTACTAATTAACCCATAACTGGACAGAAGAGGAGAATTTATACCATTCCTAATATTCTTTGTGCGTAAATCTTACAGTAAGTCCCCAAGTGGTTAGCATCTAGGTACTGACCAGACACCACTTTGCTTATGTTCTGTGATCATACGTAAACAGGTGCTTCAACGTGATCTGGCCTTAAGCCTTGAAGTTCGGAAGGAGGTTTAGCTCCAACTAACGTTCTCGGTTGGAAAATCAGGTACTCTAAAGGTAGAATGCGATGAACAGCATAAGCGAGCATCAAAGAAAGTGGAAAGAAAAATTGCAAAACAGTTACTTATGCAACATGCGTGATACACGCTTAGGCGATCATGTATCTTTCGATACACGACTGACGAGGCAGATTTTTTTTTCCCCGCAGTACGTTGCCATTTCTTTCTGCTTTAGACCAGTTGCTATCCAATGATATAGAACCTGGTCTGTCATGCTATTTACCCACAGCTGGGGAAAGAAGAAAATGATTCATATTTTTCCCGGGGGTATTAGCACGTAAGTGAATGTAATGAATCTAACTGGAATTCGAATTCAGTTCTTTGATTTCTCAATGCGAGCTGCTATCCATTACTCCATCGTGCCTCCTCAAAGATCAAATACAGTTGATATTTCGTTATTAGGAAAGAGGACATCGAGAATTTGGTACGTAAGTGAAAAAGCAGCACTTCGAAACTGCAAGCAATCCACTTCAAGAGATTTAGTGAACAAGCGAAAAGGAATGATGGAGAAGGTAGTTATAAAATACAAGCATTGGTGCATTGGCCAGATCTTGTAAGGAGCTGGCACATAAAAGAAAAAAATCGTAAAACGTAAATATATATGTCTATATTTCTGAGATGAGGTATTATGTACAGTATTTACATTAGTCGGACTATTGTCCTCATCTTTGTCGCCATATTTGTCACAACGTTTCGGCCGTTGTACGCTCCGGCCTTCTTCAGGTGGTTGGAATTTCGAACTGAACCCTTTATTTCGATCACTGGGGTAGACTGTTCTAATTCCACGTGCCATGTTTGATGGATGTCAGTTATCAGTTATCTCCTGCTAATTTTCCCTCTGAAAGTTCTCCACTGCCTTAACCAGGAATTAAACTCACCTTCTTTGTGTCTGTCACTGGATCTAACCAACGCCTTTATCCACTGTGCCATGTGTCCTTGAGGACATCTGGGTATGAACTTCTGAGTATTATAAACCTAATGTTTTGGCATCATTTTTACCAGTGCTCATATTGCAATTTTTGCTGTTATCATTGCATGTCTTTACCAGAGTTCATATTGCAACTTTGTTATCATTGCTTTTCTCTGGCACTCCTTATTACTGGCTCCCATATTGTATTTATTTCTATGCTTGGTCGGCTCAGGAGATTTTTGTGGCCTAGCATATGTGCTGATTCCTTAAGTTTACGAATTTTCCAATGGTGTTCCCTGTCTATGATCTCAACATGATCCCACAGGGGCGGTGATCTCCTTCTCTCTCCATATGTGGTCAGCCACGCCTGATTTTTTCTACTTCCCCTCAGGTTACAGCTTTCTGGTGTTCTTGAAGCCTTACCTTGAGGGGGCGGCCTGTCTCTCCTTTATATTCCTTTCCGCAGCTGCATGGGATAGCGTACACACAGTCTTTTGTCATGTTCCTCTCTATGGGGGGTCTCACTCGTGAGAGATACCTGCGAAGTGTTGTCACGCTTTTGAAGGTTGTCCTGATGTTATATGGACCGCAGATCCTTTGTATTTTCTCTGATAACCCCTTCACATAAGGCAGGCAGACTGTTTTCTGAGTGTTGTTGTCCTCCTCCTCCTCCTCCTCCTCCTCCTCCTCTTGTACCCGCCTATCCCAGTTTTTGGGGGCTGCTGCCATGTACCCAGGGTAGTTGTTGCGTTGTAGGGTACTACTTATACTGACCAATTCCTTATCTAACGTCTCTGGATCGCCACTTATGACTTTTGCTCGGTGTTGTAAGCATCGGACGATCCCTTTCTTTACGCTGTATGGATGGTGGGAGTTGAAATTGAGGTACTGTCCGGTGAATGTTGGTTTACGGTATATGTCTTGAACCCATTCTCTGTTCGAGATATTAGTACATCCAGGAATGGGAGTGAGTTGTTACTCTCTTTCTCCATTGTGAACTGTATCGAAGGTCTTATTGAGTTCACATGGTCCAGAAGAACCTGGACTTCTTCCTGATGTGGCCAGAGTATGAAAGTGTCATCTACGTACCGTAACCATATAGTTGGCTTTAGCGATATAGACTCTAATGCCATTTCTTCAAAGTATTCCATGTATATATTCGCCATTGCTGGTGATAATGGCGAGCCCATTGCTAAGCCCTCATCCTGTCGATATATGTGAGATCCCATTCCAAAGTGTGTTGTTTGTGTACAGAAAGTCAACATCTCCATCAGATTATCTATTGGAATACTGGTCCGCTCCTCTAGGGAAGAGTCAGAGGTTAATCTATCCCTGACTACTGAGAGTGCCTCCTCCCTGGGTACCTTGGTGAACAGACTCACCACGTCCAAGCTCACCATCTGGTTGGATAGGATGGGAGCATCTTTGATTATTTCCACGAAGTGGGCGGAGTTTCGGACATATGAAGGAGACTTTCCGATCAATGAGTCAATTATATCTACAAGGAAGCGACTCAGAGGGTGGCACACAGAGCCTTGGCAACTAACAATCGGCTTGAGTGGAATACCGTCTTTGTGAATCTTAGGGAGACCGTATATGTGAGGTAACTTGCTGTAACGCTGCGATAACTGCCTATACGTCTTGGGTGCGAAGTGATCCTTGTTCTTGATTAGGATCTGTGACAGTTTGCGTTCCGTTTTCATAGTAGGATCTTTCTTCACTATGCTGTAGCTACCATTGCTAATGAGGTCTTCCAGTTTTCTTGTATAGTCCGATTTTTCCATCACTACAGTCGCATTACATTAGGTTTATAATACTCAGAAGTTCATACCCAGATGTCCTCAAGGACACATGGCACAGTGGATAAAGGCGTTGGTTAGATCCAGTGACAGACCCAAAGAAGGTGAGTTCAATTCCTGGTTAAGGAATTGAACTCACCTTCAAGGCAGTGGAGAACTTTCAGAGGGAAAATTAGCAGGAGATAACTGATAACTGACATCCATCAAACATGGCACGTGGAATTAGAACAGTCTACCCCAGTGATCGAAATAAAGGGTTCAGTTCGAAATTCCAACCACCTGAAGAAGGCCGGAGCGTACAACGGTCGAAACGTTGTGACAAATATGGCGACAAAGATGAGGACAATAGTCCGACTAATGTAAATACTGTAAATATATATCTTAAAAAATAAATTATGAATTTTGTGGACTAGCATGTATTTCAACAGAAAATATGGATCTATGAGCAAACTTTCTAAGTATACGAAGATTATGAATGAAGAAAAGTTAACAAAACGGATGATATTTTAATATTTGTTTGATGTATATGGGATCATAATTCAATGAACCTTGAAATAACTGATCTATCTTGGAAAGAATATATCTCAGCGGGAAATAACTCACAAGATATCAAAACTGATTAGATTTTACATAACTTTAGTTGTGACAAACTATAGGTCTTAATTATTGGCGGTCACAATCTTAACAACATAAGATATGTAGATGACACAGCGTTGAAAGCAGACACAAAAAAAGGAAAACTAAAGGAAGTCATACCGCACGTAGTGGATGAAAGCGAAAAGAAACGACAAATTCATCAATTTTAAGAAGACATAATGTATCGCCGCCAGCAAAAAAAACAGCTCAACATGCAAATTATAAATTGGAGATAGCAAATCAAGCAAATACAAAGATTTAAATATCTGGGGAAACGTTTTGATGAAGGACGGAAAGTGCGCCAACGAAATCTGAAGGCGTATACAGATAGTGAAAGATAGCTTCCAAAAACTAAGCAAAATATTAAGAAATAGGAAAATTTCATTAGAACCTAAGAAAAGAGTACTGAACTGTTATGCAGTCCTCTTATAAGGCAGGGAATACCGGACAATCTCTTGTCAGATGAAGAAGGGAATTGAAGCAACAGATATATGTTTCTACAGTAGGATGCTGAGTATGCTATGAGCTGGACAATATGAACAATTATGATGCTTTCTAGAAAATTGAAACAAAAATGACACTTGTATTTAATATCTGAAAGAGAGAGAGTTGAAACTACTAGAACAAACAAGGACGAAAGAGTGCTAACAAAATTTGACACCTACAGGGCATACCTAAGACATGAGAGAGGAAGACAGTTCATTGTAGATCTTTGTAACTGTCATCTCTTCTAACCTCTGTTTTGCCTACCAAATTGTGGAAAGCCATGATCGCCAATGTCCTGAAGGGATATGGCCTATAGAAGAGGATTGCTGGTATACCTTCGTTTCGCGGTAATACTGTTACAGTTTTAAAGTTATATTTGTAAATAGGTGATAGGAAACTGTCAGCTTGATTAAAACGTGTGTTTAATGTTTTAAGGAGTACAAGTACTTTCTAGTCCAGTACGTATGATCTATTAGATTTGGTATATGGCTGTGTAATATTAAGTAAATCCGTATCAAATAGTGTCAAATCCAATTTCCTCTGTAAAAACCGTGATCGTATTGTTAATTAATAAACGAAACGTATCCAGTACGTTATTACAATATTTTACACATGAAACTCTAATAAGCGATGTGAGAAATTCAAAAGCATGTATTTCTTTACAAGATGACAACGTAGGAAGCGTGTATTACGGGGGTGGCCAAACCGAGGCTCGCGAAACAGATGCAGCTTTTTGACCTTTAATTTTGACGTTTGACCTCATGCAAATATGTTGGCTGAGATCCTTTTTTCATCATAGTTAATATAAAATGTAAATAAGGAAAACTCCAAGCTTTATAATTATTTACTGGTTACGAAATAAAATTCTATTAGATGAAAACCTAAATTTACTGTTCATGGTTAGTAAAAATAGTTTTAAGAATTTAAATCCTAATTTTAATGCTAAATCTGAGAGTTTGAACTTTAGTGCCGAGGGAAGGAATGATGGGAGGCAGAGGGTTAAAATAAACTTTCAATCTGCAAGAGTTAAAGAGGAATGTCAGAAGACAGAGATCATAGCTAAGGGGACTGCACTCACATCATGTACTTTAGGGCAAGACGTTGAACTGTTCAAACCTAGTTGGTACACTTCAGATACAGGTTTTAGATTTTGTCAAGATTTTGAAAACATTTCGTATATATATATATGTAATTTGTGATTAGAAATCTGCGTACATTAATAAATATATTTTAATGTATGCATTTTAAATATTAAATTTTTATAGAAAAATGTGTATGTAACAAAAAGTTATGTGTAAATTTTGTTCATATCTAGCGGCTCTCAAATATCTTAACTTTATCACTTGTGGTTCTTACATTACGCAAGTTTGGTAATCCTAGATGTATTAATAATCAGCCCAAAGACAAAAGTGTTGTGGGCCATCAAGTCGGTTATAATAAGACTTCGGCAAGAAGTAAAACCATTTTCTAAGACAGTGTTATGTCTTCATTGCAATGAATGTAGATAATACAATCAAGTAGTATGTCGTTTGGACTCGACTAGGTTTTGCTTAAATAGGTAGAAAGAATATAAGCTAGGCCTCTAACTCGCTATTTATTTTCCTCTTTCTACTGACGATTCTCGGCGTCCGTATTTATATATTTGGACGAGTCCAAGTCCTTTTCTGGAAAAGTTTGTTCATCTTTACAACAGACAGTTAAAATTCTTCA